GAGGAGAGAAGAAGAGGAAGAGGAGGAGGTGGAGGAGGAAGAGGAGGAGGGGGAGGAGGAGGGGGAGGGGGAGGAGGTGGCTGGTGGGAATGAAGGTGGATAGATGGGTCTCAGCTATGAGAAAGCCCTGCATGTGAACAGTGGTGAGAACTAAGCCAGTGGGGGACAGGGACACAAAGGAATCAATGGAGGGAGGAAGACAGGGGAAGGAACTCAAGTTCCTAAAAGACTTCTCATGATGAAGGAAGCAGAGAATAAAGCTTTGTCATTCAGAACCCAAGCAAGGGGTTGAGATCAACCCAAAAGCCATCTCCTTGCCTTCTTCACTAAGAGCGATAAGAGAAACCTGAAGACAACTCACTAGACCCAACGACAGGGCAGAGATGGGTCTATCATACTCCATCTTTCAGAAAGTCTCTTTTCTCCTGAAGCACATCTTCCCCAAAGGAGCCCCCAGTAAAGGCACCAAACCTTAGATCCCCAAGGAAAATATCCTTCCATGCCCAACCCCAGAAAGAAGAACAAGTTTAGATTGATGTGGGACATAGAGCGTAAAAGGGGACATGGTACCAGATTTTATTTCCTGCTACCTTTAAATAAAAACAGAGGAAGTCATTTGAATGAATTATTTCAATTATTTATTATTTAGACTATGATCTTGGAGTAAGAAAGTTCATCTCATAATAAATCATTCTCTATAAGTAGAAATTTGATTTGGTTCAGTAAATTATTGAATGACCTAGATGAAGCCCTGAACTTAATATAGAAAGACAAAAATAGTAGAACAGGAACTTGAGCCTAAAACTTACTATCTTAAGTGAAAGAGGATTTTTTTATCCCAAGGTACAAGGAAATAGTTAAATTTCAAGCCCATTTTTAATGTGCCTAATGAGCCTTGATTGTTTTATTTTCTGCCAGGAGTGATGGAATATGCCTATAATCTTAGCACAGGGGAGACTGAGACAGATTATCTTATTTTATTTTGTGTGTGTGCCAGTCCTGGGGCTTAAACTCAGGGCCTCGGCACTTCCTTGAGCTTTTATGAGCAAGTCTAGTGGTCTTCCACTTTGATCCACAGTGCCATTTCCAGCTTTTTTGGCATCTAAAAGTCTGTAAGAGTTTTACAGACTTTCCTGTGGAATCCTCAGCTCCCAGCCTCCTGATTAGCTAGGATTACAGATGTGAGCCACTAGCACCTGGGTGAAGGATTTTGATTTTGAGGCAGTCTAGTCTAAACAATGGGACCAGATCCTGCCTCAAGGGTTGTTTTTTGTTTTGTTTTGCTTTCCAGTAATATATACAACCCTGTGACTTGGTCAACTATGTTAGAAACAAGGGCTAGGCACTGTGGTGCCTAGCTGCTCAGGAGGCTGAGATCTGAGTGAGGATCACAATTCAAAGCCAGTCTGGGCAGAAAGTCTGTGAGACTCTTATTTGCAATTAACCAGCAAAATGCTGGGAGAAGAGGCATGGCTCAAGTAGTATAGCATTTGCCTTGAGAAAAACAAAGCTAAGAGAGAGTGTGATTCCCTGTGTTCAAACCCAGTGCCAGCAGGAAGGAAGGAAGGAAGGAAGGAAGGAAGGAAGAAGGAAAGAAAGAAAGGAAGGAAGGATAGAGGGAGGGAGGGAGGGAAGCAAACGATTGGAGAGAGCTCATGCAAGGAAGAAAGAGAGAGAAGAGGAGGGGAGGAAGAGGAAGGAGGAAGGGAGAGAGGGAAGGGAAGGGAAAGGAAGGGAAGGATTGGAGAGAGATCATGCAAGAAAGAAAGAGAGAGAGGAGGAGGAGGAAGGAGGGAGAGAGGGAGGGAGGGGAATCAGAGAATTGACAATATTATTCATTGTACCCATACCAAATTTTACTCTATTTCATTCTCATTAATTTTGAGAACCCATTAAAGCATGTGTGGTTGGTCAGAGCTAAAAGGAAATAATACCACTCCATCTCCAGGGTAGTCAGCCCTCAATGCAATACCTTGCCAGAAAGAACCAACTGCTGTAGTCTGATGCCAGTCTATCATCATCTTTCCATCTTCCAGCCTCTTTCCATTAGAAGTCACCATCTGGTGTCAGGGGTCATGCTAGTCACAAATTGGATCATCTTTTCCACCTG